ATCTCAGCCTGCAAATTGTTAAGCCTCCTTCCTTAAACGATTCCTCATTAAAGGGTTTAATTCCTATAATTTTGTACGATTTTGTTTCATTTTAGACAGTTTTGAGCGAGATAATACAAATGCAAACCATTTCTTCTTAAAGAATAGGTCAAATGAAACAAGAACATATTGAATCTAAATTTACAGTCTCTCTCAAAGGTTCAGCAGAATTGCATCGAGCAGGTGCATTAGATTCAACCTTATAATCAACTCGAATTGGCAACCTAAGTAGAAAAATCGGTGAGAATTGATCGTCACAAACTGACCACAATCAAACGCGGAGTGTTTAAAACAAAAGCTGGTCGGGTGAAAGAAAAAGACAGATCAAGATTTCTGTTCAACGGGCTTATCTTAAAAGGCCATGAAACTGTTGAAGTCTTTGAGGCCGTGGGTGAGAATGAGAGAACGAATAAGAGCAAGGAGCATGCTTTTGTTTGCTAGTGCATTCGTTGTTCTAACAAAGCCGATTGTTTACAAACAACGTGGCCACGCTTAATGCGACCTTTTCTATTAAGCTAATCTGCTTGACCCGCACGAATGTTTTAGTCTTAGCCTGCGTGAAATCTGGATTAGGATAAAGGCAAGGACCAAGGGTCATGGGGTTATTTTTTGAGTTTGAGGGAAGGTAAATATGGTGCCGTTTGCATGTAACCCATATCGACGGTGAAACTACCAAACCACGTATCTCGGTTTGCGACGTCGCAGACTTCCTGTCATACTTTATTTTTTAAATGAAAAACTACTGAACGTCCAGTCTTGAAAATTTCTGTGATTTTTCCTCTTCGAGCGGAGAAAATTCTGTGAAAATTTCAAGGAATGATATTGATTTGGTCTACTTCAATAAAATAAAATGCGAGCGTAGATTTTTAAACACCGCAAACGAGATACGTGGTTTGGTAGTTTCACCGTCGATATGGCATACGACGACTCATCAGTCATCACACGGCAGCGATCGACTTAATGGAAAATGGGTCAGTTGTGCTGGACACAGGATTGTGTTTCAATGCTTAATTCTTTCAGCTTAGCTAAAAATAATAAGATGTGTCCAAACAGCAACTTCCTACGTTCAATATTAACCGAGATATCGCCTTTTGAAATGTCGGGTTTTTGACGTCATCTTCCGCGGTACTCATGCTTTCTTCCACCTTCCTTTCTTCCAAGTTTCGCGTTTAAGGTGATTCGATGGACGCCATATTTTGTGTCAGAACGGCATGCGATATATCGCATCAATTGGTTCCATTTTTTCAGCTACTTGTCATTTTTCTCCAATTTTGAGATCGCAATTCTGTTGTCAGGAGACTAAAGCACTCACCAATTTTAACAAAGAAATTCAACGTAATAAAGGCGTGGTTTTTTTTAGAGAGAAAATATCGCATTCGAGTGCAGTTTCGATATCAGTATCGAATGCGATGTTTCCTCTCTGAAGAAACCACGCCTTTATTGCGTTGAATTTCTTTGTTAAAATTGCTACGTGAGTGATTTAGTCTCCTGACAACCGAATTGCGATCTCAAAATCGGAGAAAAATGACGAGTAGCTGAAAAAATGGAACCAATTGATGCGATATATCGCATGCCGTTCTGACACAAAATATGGCGTCCATCGAATCACCTTAACAACCAGTGCAAATGTGCGTCACACCGATTGATGAAAGCAAGATCAAAGAAAACAAGGTGGTACTATAGCGGTGGATGGCGTCAAAAACTCGACTTTTCAACGGGCGATATCTGGGTTAATATTGAACGTGGAAAGTTGATGTTTGCACAGTTTTTATTATTTTAAGCCGATCTAAAAAAATCTAGCATCAAGACACGATTCTGTGACCAGCGTAACTAACCCATTTGCAAATGATTGTTCGATGAATTTGATTTTCGTATTTTTAATTCATTCACGTTTTCCATAATGAACCACTGAGAGACTATACTTGCAGAATGGCAAACCCCATGCACGTGCCCTTCTGCAAATAGCTCGTTCAGGTTTAGCCGAAAATAACGGATCGTTACACTCATTCTCACCAGTTCGCCTTCAATAAGCTGATAGGCAACGTTAGCAGCTCAGGAGCAGTGATAGTTGCATGTAGCAATTAGAGTGTTTCATCGGTGTCGGTTGATCGGGTTTTTTGAAGAGGCGTATCGGAATAATTTTCAAAACCTCCCTCGACTGCGGTGTTGTCTCTCTCACCCCCCCCCCCCCNATTCATCCTTTCCAGTTTGTCTCACCACGCAACGCCTTTGCTCTTTGATAAAGCGGCGGACATGTCTGAATTCTTCAAATAAAGATGCATTTTTCAGAAGAGACGATGTTTTCCAAAGTTGGTAACTCTAAAATCGATGGTTGAAGTGCAAAACCACGTAATTCCACTTGCAACGTCCGCAGATGTTCTGTTATAATATATCTTTTCTTTTGAAAACCAGTCACCACGATTTCTTGAAAACGTTGGTCCTTATCTTTCTACTCTGTCGGCAGGATATTCTATGGACACTTCAAGCTATAAACATGGCTTGTTTTTCTGCGAAAAAGTAAAATAGGAGCGGAAATTTGGAGATATGCGGTTTCGCACTTTAACTATCGATATGTTTCCTGCAAAGGCAATCGGACCGCGTGAGGCAGAGAGAAACCAAGCCACAGCAAGTTTAGCAAGCCACCTATAGCCAAATTTAAGTGGACAATTCAATTTCTTACAGGATAATGGTTGTGCGGATTTTCGTGCAAATTTCAGTGATTCTTTCGCAGAGTACAAAATAAGTTCTTCAAAATTCTCAAAGGAACCCCCTCAAACGCTCTTGTAGAAAATTATATTTCTCGGCTAAATTAGGCAATAGCTGATGTGGCTTGGTTCTTTTCTACTTAACGCGGTCCAATTTGCAGCCGGAGCATCGTCCTCTCTCAGCTGAAGGCGCTGAAGACACTTCTGAGTTATTTTATCAAGCCGCGCTAAACATCGATAATTTACGAAGACAGGGGCGAGGCTGCAAAGTTGATAGCCTTATTAGGGGTGAGCTTTTGAGCGGGTCGCGGCCGGGAGGGGGGGGGGTCAGGGACAAGTGAAATCATAGGAGGGTCTAAATGATTACAGCGATAAACATCGTCACTGATTGCCGTGAAATTGCGTCGAGCGCCGGTCCCTCTTGGCTCGCTCCCCTGCGTCGGGACGCTATCCCACCCCAGGGCGGCGGCGGCGCCGTCGAAGGGCTCGAAATCAAAATTGCATTCATTTTCCCACCCATCGCTTCCGTCGCGATGTCTCAATGCGCTGCGCTATGCGATATATCGATCGACGTACTATTCAAACCTATGGGGAAGAATCGATGAACATGGTGTTCGCAATAATCGATTCTTTACCAAAGCGTCGAATGGAATAATATCGATAATCGATCATTAACGCCTCGGCACTGTTAATGCGCGTAATATGTGGCCGGCGCAGTGACTTTTACGCGTTGTCACTACGCTCCTTTGTGAGCACGTCTCAATTTTCCGCTCAAGTGTTTCCGGTTCCGGGTGCACCCTCAGGGGCCTTTCCTGTGATGATTAGCTCGCCCCATTAAAACCCCGTTGCTTTTCCGGGCGATGCATCAGAATTGACTCTGGCTCGTAAATCACTATAGTTACCCTAGTCCAGCGTAGGCTTAATTCGACTTAAATGAGCGGTGCAATAACATGCTTAAGTTGTGCACTTGTGCTTCATCTCATTTCGGAGTGATCCTGTTTGGAAACGAATGGAACCCCTAGATGGCAACGGCTAGGCCGCTAGGCAGTAAGCAGTGTAGGGGTAGAAGCTTACTTTGATAGGGCTTTTGTTTCTTCTTGAGGAGAGTGAATAATTTTACCGCCGATTGGACCGCGCTTAGTAGAAAGGAACCAAGCCACATTAGCAATTGCCTTTAACTGGGCACTTTAATTTTATATAATAGAATATTTGTGCGGATTCTTTTAAAAATTTTAAGGAATTTTCTTCACTCTATGCAAAAAATTCACTGAAATTTTCACACAAATCCGCACAACTATTTTCATGTAAAAAATTAAAATGCCCAAGTTGGTGGGCCAAGTAAATGGCATTAGCTTATGTGGCTTGGCTTCTTCATGTTAAATGCGGTCCAATTCTTTAGCGATACAGTAAATTACTTTAACTTTAAGGAATGCAAAAAATTGTTCCGTTTGCTTCTGAATGAGTGTTCTACAGAGAAATTTTAAAGGTACATCAATGCCAAGGTGCGAAGCCACGTAACTTCTTTTGCAACGTTGCAGATTTCTTGTCATACTTCATTTTTCCTATAGAAAGCTAGTGGATACAATTTCAATTTCTTGAAAACTTCCTTGATATATTCTGTATCAGCAGAATACTCTGTACAAATTTAAAGGCTTGTTTTGCCTCGAGAGAATAAAATATAGGACCGGAAATTTTGAAGCGATTAAGATACGTAGTTTTGCACTCTGCCCATCGAAATATCAAGAATATAACAAAAATTGGAGTATTTCGATGAATTTATGGTAATGCCAGGGATCTCAAATATGTAACCATACTCGCTCAAGTCGGTAGTTATTAAAGTACTCCAACTTCTGTCGCTGTTTGTATCTACTTCTGAGCCATCTACGTTAGATCGCTCTATTTAGTCCAAAATTATTTTGAAACACTAAAATTTTACTGCCGTTTTCATGATTTCAAAAGGGTTATTGGTGCCCTTCACAGCCCCTCCTTTGACCAACAATACAAATTCAATTGCTGAGTAGGTCTTTTTTGAACTTCCATTTGACAGTCTGAAAACGGTACATGCTGAAATTTAATTTTGTGTATTTTAATTTAATTTTTGTGATATTCATGTAGGGACACAGGAGTAATTATATGGTTTAGTATATGTCAATGCAGCTAACTTTAAATTTTTTCCTGCTTCTTTGCTTAAATAATCAAATTATAAGGAATTATTCTGTCAGAAATTAAACGATGGAAAAAATGAACAAACTGAAATTAATTTTATCAATACTTTTATTATTATTTTTCTTCTTCTTTTTCATTTTCAAATTCTTGAATTGAGGAACAAAATATAAAGTTTGTAATCTTACAGAGTAAGGCTTAAGAAAATTGTTAAGTTCTCGCACAAGTTTAAAAAGGATAACTTTTTCCTCTAATTTTAACAACGTGAATTTCCAAGAACACTAACAAAACATAAAATAACATAGACATTATTATACTAAATCACAATAAAAAAATACATTTCTTACTGTTATTAAGCTTCAATCAACTCAAAAGTAACTTCCAGAGGGAAACGATATAAGATGTAAATCTCTAATTACATCACACATAATTTTAAAAAAAAATTAACCTTACGAACTAAAATGCATGCCATCGTTGTTGTTATGATTTAAAACAACGACGGTAACGCATTAAGAGGATTGCACTAAGAGTATAGTAAAAACAAAGATACAAATATTATGAGATCTTTACTTTCCCTCTATCTTGTTTAGCAAATGTTTTTAACAATTACCAGCAAACTATGATTTATTTTCTCACCAATGAAAAGATCTTTGAACTTGGAATCGGACCTTCCACTGGATGATTAAGATTAACTTCCAGTTAAGAACCAGTAAGTTGTTGGAGTCAGTGACAAAATCTTTGTTTGAGAAAAAAGAGGGTAGGTACACGGAAAAAAATATGAACAAATATTAAAATTCCTAATAAGTAGTACAGGAATCTGAAATTTTTAGTTAACTTATCATAAAAAGACTTGTGGCATATTTTCATTTTATTGTGTATCAGATTACATGAACTTCCATTTTAACCGGAATTTATCACATCTTGAAGAATTGAAAATTCCAGATGTTTAAATTATCGAAAAATTAGATTAAATTAAGATAAAGGATTTCTTGGATCCTGGATTTCTCGGAGGAATTTTAAGATTCTTGTATTGAGACATTTATTAAACTGGATGTGCCAAAAAATACTTAAACTCTTATCTTTTTTTAAACGTAAGAAAAACAATTTCAAGCGCACTGGCTTTGGAAAGAATCGGACTACGCGAAATAATTTTTGACCTTCGTTGGCCGTTTGTTAGCTCTGTGTATTTTTTTTTCTTCTTTTTCACATATTTGAGTTGACTGGATCCAAATAACTCTACTGAAATAAAATTATAAGACATACTTTTTACATAGAAATAGCAGTTAACAACAAAACAACAACAACAACAATAATGATAATAATAGAAATAAAATAATTTTAACAAGGTGTTGATGCCTGTACACATGAGGCCACGTAGAAGTCTCTTTTTCCTTTTCTTGCAGAACTATGGTAGACGCTTATATGCCAAAAAACCAATTCAAAGAATGGCAGCCATAATTTCACTGTAAAAAATTTGATTTTACCATACTCAGACACAGTAATATGAGTATGGTAATAAACACCAGACTCTATGATAGCGTTTACCATATTATGGTGAGTATCACCAGAGTTCTGGTAAATACTACTATTATTTACGTTATTTTCACTAAATAGTATCACTGTTCTGAAAAATCAAGTAGACATTACAGTGGATGTTACCATTTTTTTTCAATGTTTCGGTTAATTGTAAAGCTTGATGCAAAACTCAGGAGAATTGTTGGAGAAACATTTAGTTTTCCTTTTTCCATTTTTATAAAGTTTGTATTCACCGACGGATTGTATCCAATAATTTGGTCGTTTTTAGTCATTTTGGTATTAGGCTTTCAAATAATATTTGGTTTTTTTGTTTTTCTTTGATTTTTTATTTTTGATTTTTTACTGAACAAGTGCATTTGCAAACCTTGCAAGAAAAAGGTCAACGAGTTCGACGTGGCCTTACAAGTATGAGTTTAGGTTGAAATGATCTCCAAAGTAAAAAAATTGGGATCGACTACGAGAGTTTTTGAACTAAACTTGACACCAATATTATACGAGTTACTTACGTAGCATAATCACTCGAAGAGATCTATGCATGACAATATCTGAATCAATATTTTCATACGTTGGAAAAAACACGCGGGGTATAAAGTACCACTAGCAACTAACTACCTTTATTGGTACTTTAAATTAGCCCTCCGTGGAAATCTTCAGTTTTGGATAGACTTATAGAATTATTAAAATGTTGAGATACTGAGGCAAGTTCTCTTTTGGTGCTTTTTGAGATGAATCGTGACAAATTTCAATTTCTAAACTTCAAGTGTTATAAGTAGATCTAATCAATTTTTGTAAGTAATTTTAGAAATCACACTCTTCTTCCAACGGAATTTACAAATGTCCATTTCAATTCAGCTAAAACATTATATTCGCCTATACTTCTTTGGTTTCCATCTACACGGGTATTTAAGTTTCGAATTGATTGTTTAAAAAAAGTATCCTCTGTACATATTTACACATTATTTCATACTAAAGTCTATATTACATGAGGGAAAAGAGGTCTTAATCCTAACTGTAAGATCTTTGAAAGAGAGTCATGCGGTTTTCAATTTCTTTTTTGACTGAAAACTTCAAATTCCCGTCAAAGTACACGAATAAGTTGAGCCTTAAGTAAAGAGCTCTTAAAATAGACTTTCTAAAGAGTTGATACGTCAAACGATCTCAAAAAGTATAGTTGAAAAATCATAGATTGGCAGGTAACGTAACTGCATAAAAAGCCATCTAATGTATATACAAGGGAAAGTCATTCAATTCATCGATTTGAAAGTTAGAATTACAACGTCAAAAACTGCGAGTCTCGTAGTATTATGTACATCGTTTTGTGTATTTCAGGAAACACAAATCCGTTTTTAAGACAACACGACAGAGTGGTGACTATTTACAACAAGAACAATAATTATACATTCGATTCCTGGGAGTAATTATCTTTGGTTGTAATGTTTTTTCCGAGCAGCTTTTCTTATGGAGGGGGAGGGGGTTTAAAAATTGACAAACGAAACACGAAGTTTCTTCCGCGTAACAAAATGAAAACGATAACACACATTCCGTCAATTCTCGAATCTCTAAACTTCAACTTCTCAATCCAGGACTACAAAATAACACCCAATACCCAGTATATGTGAAACCTATCGGTGTGTACAAAAGAATATAATGAGTTTGAAAAGTTGAGCTGATGTTTGACGAGTGAGTAGGCAAATATGTAAACTTTTTTTGTCAAGTTTTTGATCAGGTCAAGATTATTTTCAAAGTTTTTAGCACTGAAATACCTGTTGTTTTAAAATAGAGATTGTATAAAAGTTGACAGTAAAAAAGTAGGTGAAAAATTTACATTCAAGAAAAATTGTTACTTTCGTCAATTTTTTTTTTGAAAATGCTAGGATCTTTCATCAAACACGGGCAAAACTAAATTTAGGTCTTCAAAATTCGATAATCTGTCAGTATACGTGACAGAATGGTTAATCTGACCATTGAGAAAATCCATCTTCGTGTGTTTTGCGGAAATGAGCTGTAGGCAGGGGAAAATTATACTCGGGAACTTAATTCCTGGTTCCGGCAGCGATGACCTGCTCCGGACTCCTCTTGGGCATTATCTGGTAAGGACTATATCTATGCTGGGCGAGGAACATGGGCCTAGGTAGCCTGAGGTCGGAGGAGGGTGACGGGGAGCCGGAGGAACTAGAGGGGGTGGTGGGTGGCGGCGGGGTGAGCTGGTTGGAGGGTGGGAGGGGCGGTCCGAGAAGTCCCGGAGGTAGCCCACTGTGCGGCGAGGTGGCGGCGTTGGAGGTGGGCGTCCATGGGCTGGGGGGGCTGCTGGCCCAGAGGTGGGCCGGCAGGGGTATCCTCGTGGGCACGCCGCCCGGGCCGGAGGGGAGGAGCATGGCGTGGAGGTCCGCCGGGGAGCAGGGCGGCGCGGCGCGGCCCCAGAGCTGGAGGTGGGCGCGGGCCTTCTCCATGAGACCGGCGCCCCCGAAGATGTTCCCGTTGTTGTTCTCCGTGTCCATCTCCGTGTACAGCCGCAGAGGGGATCGAAGGAAGTGCTGCTCCATCAGCATCAAGTCGATCGGGTCCCTGAAACAGAACGCAACGAACATCATTAGACATGGAGTTGAGGGAGACACGACAAACCATCTTTATAGGTCGACCTCCGCGCCGATTATCGAAATTGATAGACAAAGCTTTAGACATAGAGGACAAAAGATATATGGAGGAATTCCATTGGTATAAGCGGGTGGTTGCAATGGACAAAGGAGATAGGAGGTATAATAGACTAAGAAACGGCAACCCACGAGGGATCTGATAGTTTGTCTATCATTTTCTCCCTTAGTCTATAGGAGCCTTTGATTCAACCGATACGATAGCTCCACACTCCCTATGTCTTCTTTGCCTATCGTCTTGTCTATAAATTTCAATAATCGGCCCGCTGACTGGGTCTTAGGACCTCTATCAAATTAGGAAGCACTAGAAATAGGAAAAATAAGAGAGGCAGAAGTGCAGGATGCCTCCTCACGAGAAAAACCTGAGAGAGAAACACCTGAATATTCCATTTCTTTACAGATAAGGCAAGTTATGTACATTTTATCACCACATTTTAACTTTCGAAGTTACTTATCGGGATCGCGAGGTCAAAAACAACGATCAAGTCAAGTTAGCAGTGAAAGTTTCGATACATCCAGCTCTTGAGTCCCATTAGTTGAACTTCATTTTGTGATTAGGAACTTCAATTTCTGGCTCATGTACAAACACTTATGTGTGCACAGTGGAAGTAACGGTACATTATACGCTCACAACAAAGTGAAGTTGATAATTAACATTCTGGATGTATAAAAGTGTGCGAGAACATATAGAATGCTGGATTAGCCAGCCACAGCAGCTAGTTTTACATCTTGGCATTGCTAAAGTAGCCACTGTAAGTTCTCGCGCACTTTTTTTACATCCCGAATGTTAAATCAACTTCCTTTTTTCTTCGGTTTTGTTTCTAAACTGAGCCAACGATGGTCGATGGTAGTTCCGAATTGCAAAATGTAGTCCAGTCGAGGAGCCCGTAACGGTGAAAAACGGTAGCCTTCCTTTGAAATCAGTGAAGGAGTACAATACTACCGTGTTAAGTAAGAACAACGTATGAGACATCAGGCATTGCCAAATTTCCTTCGAATTATCCGGATTTGTGAATATTTCTCCTTCGATTTTTAGGAGCATTTTGTTCGGCATTTCATCTGAAGAGTCTGAAATTTTGAAGGAAAAGTATTGTTGACTTTCATCAAAAATAGATATTTTCTAAGAGGAAATTTGGCAACATTCGAATGCTCATACGGCGAATTTTCCTTAGCACGGCAGAACAGCAGTGAAAACTCGTAGGAAAGCGGAAGCGCCGAGGTCGGGACCCACGAAAGCGACTTCTGAAAGACGACCCCGACTCCGAAAGGACGCGGAAATTATTTTTCTCGTGCTTCCTCGCCGAACTGAACCGCGCCGGGCCCTGTAAATAATTACGGAGGAGCGAGAGGATAAAACTTAAATTAAAAGCTCAACTGCGAGCCCGGAGCGCGGGGGGAGGGGGGCGGGGTTCCCTCATCCAGAAAACGTAAAGTTCAGATTGAGGCTGACACATTAATTCGAGGGATCACCGTGGTGGGGCTCCTTGAGCCCCGCGCGACCCGAGAGCGGGACGTAGTGGTGAATTGCTAATTTGCTATCTGTATGCTCCGCTCTCTCACGGCGACCCATTAAGCCTTTTTATATTTTCGAGATAATTCTTCGCCCTGAGCCGGCGTGTGCGGCGGGTGGCCGAGAGGGTTCGAATGAAGGGGCATCCAAGCAGAGACGGAGCCGTGGTCGCCATGAGTCGGCGTGTACGACGGGTGGCCGAGCGCGCTCGAATGAAGGGGATATTTTCGAGATAATTCTTCGCGCTGAGCCGGCGTGTGCGGCTGGTGGCCGAGAGGGCTCGAATGAAGGGGCATCCCCGCATCCAGGGACGGAGCCGTGGTCGCTATGAGCTGGCTTGTACAGCGGGTGGCCGAGAGGGCTCGAATGAAGGGGCATCGAGGGTAGTGCGGTGAGGTGCGGCTAGGGTATCGAGACCCGAAGGATGCGAATTTAGACGCGGACTTGTGCTACGTTTCTCGGGTTGGTCCTTTTATTGCCACGTTGAGCGCTTGAAAGTCCAGTAGAAAAACTGGAACTTTTAAAGGAGCTCTTTTGAAAGTGTATGATTTGTAAGTGTGCTTTTATGATATTGTGAATGTTGATTCAACCGTTTTTTGCCCTCCGAAAATTTCGCTGCATAATTTTACCGGAAAAGTGCATTTGGACAGTATTGGATGCATCAATCATTGCAAAAGTAATATTGAAATGAAATTCCGCTTAATAAATATAAAATAGGAGCCGAAATATTTAAACGCCACAACAGAGATACGTGGTTTAGCACTTCGGCCATCGATATTGTACATGGTATTTACAGGAAACAACGTATTCATTGCCTCCCGTCTCGGAGTCTACATCTCGCACTTCATGGACGGAATCCGGGACGCTCGAAAATCGAGCCCGGATATTTTTAATGCGGGTGATTACAAGCGATCAGTTCAAAGCTCAAGCGTCGGGGAGTACGTAGACCGTTTCGGAGTGATCATCGCTTCGTATCAAGTTCAGAGGAGCCGTGTTAAGCAAGTGATTCGCTAATAGGTGTAATTTTAATTTAATTAAAGCGCGGGATGCCGACGCCGACAATCCGCGTTGCCGAATCGCCGATTTAAATCCGTGCCTCGCGGGGCGGTCGCGAAATCCGGCGCCCGAACGTGGCAACCTCGAAAACGAAGTATCAACGCGATCCCACATTCGACCCTCCCGGCATGTCATTATCGCCGCTCTGCCAGCAAAAACGCGTAACTCCATCACGGCGTTCGCCGTAAGAGGCGTGGAGTTAAACGAACCACATGGCTTACCGCAAGGCGGAGTTATGCTCTTTTGACGTTGTGTCCCAACCTATATACACAGATACCGAGTGGGTACATGGTTGTGCGCATGGAAGGTGTTCGGACTGCACCTCGGCCGTGCTAAGGGAGAACAACGTATGAGCCTTCAGACGTCGCCAAATTTCCTGTGACAAATCTCGGATCTCCGGGAACATTTCTCAAAATTTCTCATCAAATTTTTCAGAGACTTTTGTCCGTAGTTTAATCTAAAGTGCCTGAAAATGTCTAGGAAAAATATTCATAACTCTTCTGGAAAATAAATCTTTACCAAGGAAGAAGTTGACAACATTCAGATGCTCTTAAGGCGTTTTGCCACGGTTCGGCAGAACTTCTTTTTCTCACGAAAATGAATCAGGTGGTGCGGCTATTATTTTTAATAGATCATAAGAGCGTGTTTAAATCAAAAGGAACTATACTCATTTTGACATGAGCCCTAAGATCCGTAAGATTTCATGCTCAATAGGGCTCATGTAACAATGAGTACAGCTCCTTTTGCTTTAAATAAGTCCATAATTCTTATGGGCACAACGGCTCAACTGCTTTGCTCGGGGAGCTGGCCGCGGCATAAAACACTTCCCTCGCCTCTTCAAAATAATGTCGACTGCTAAGAACTGCTAAGTATTTTGCTTGGGCGCTCGGTGCATTTAAAACTATTATCATCGGGAGGTGTTTAAGCGACCTAGGACCACGGTTCGTGGCCGGCGCCGCGCCAACACCCATCGTTGCCAAATTTATTTAAATATTTCAAGCCAACATCATTTTCAACGCTGCCAAAGGTAATTCTTGAAATTTGCTCCCATCAATTTTCAAACAAAGCTAATATCTAAGTTATATTTGTGTACCTCGGTTTTAGGTCCATCCCTTGCCGATCTTTTCTTACCAAGCATACGTAATGTTTGTAAATTATAATTCTTAGGTCGTTCACTCGTTCGTACACATTTTCGCGAATTATCTGACTCTCAAGCGTGAACTAAAATATCGTTGTTGAGTTTTTAATACATACAATTTTTTTTCGGGCATGGCATTGAAATAAGCATACTTTTAATTGCGGATTTTTGTGCAAATTTCAATTTTCTTCGTACTATGCATGCACTAGATGCATTAGCATCTAAGGCCATTTACTCCTCTGTGTTTTTACATGGAAAAGGAAGAAAGAAAAAAAGAAAGAAAATGAGTAACTGGACCGCGTTAAGCAGAGAGGAACCAAGCCACATCAGCTATGGCCACATGTAATCGAGCAATTTAATTTTTTACATGAAAATGGTTGTGCGGATTTTTGTGCAAATTTCCATGAATTTTCTCCAAAATACAAAGCAAATTCAAGTTTCGGAGATACTTGCTTCAAATTTCAAAACAAGTCAAACACGTGCTTTACCCACGACACTTCCCAACGATTGTGACTATACATCACTCTGGATACTTTGAATTCATAGATTGCTTACCCTTTTGCGGTCTAAGAGCTCCATCACCTAACCTCAAAATTTTCGACATGTCCATACTCTCTGTCTATATAGGTATTCTATAGGTAGTAGAGCAAGAATGTATTGCGTAAAAGGAGGAGATGGACGCGTGAATTAGCTAGACAAACCGTTAAAGCGCCTCGACTCGTGGCGGTGCAATGCAATGGAGTCGGGGCCGGCTCCGCTTGGTCCGATGGCGGGCCCTCACTCGCCGACCCGACAGGGGCAACTCCGCCCATCCGCCCGGATTGGACGAGACCGGCTCCGGTTACCGTCAACCGCGCGACGCCGCGATGAGCGATGACATCTCCGACGCCTCGCGTCCCGACGCCCGCCCGCCCGCCACCTCCGACGCCGCGACGCGTCTTCCACTCAACTCCGAGGTGCCGCTTCCGATCACCCGGGATCGTTCTCCGATGAGTGATGTCATCAACGCAGTGCTGCCGCCTAACACCCTTCAACGCTGGAATATTCGGATCGAATTGGATAAATACGCGCGAAATCGCATTTGAAATAAAGAAAGAAATAAAGTAGTAGAAGTAGTAGTAAGATGAGTTTATTTTAAAGCGGTGCTTTAGCATCTAGGGCCTTTTACACCTCTGTGTGTTTACATGGAAATCAAGGTTACATCAGTGAA